TATATATATATATATACACATATATATAGCTTATGTACGAGACACACTATTTGCATACAACATCAAAGAATAGAAGGACAGACGACAGCCATCAGAGCTCACTCCCAAATACCATGTCACAGCGCTCCTCGGAAACAAAAAAACTTTCCGAGAGCATGTTACGTGTGAAGTTGAATTATAACACCATGATAACATCGTATAAGTGAGAAAGCAAAATGATTGGGTAGCTTATAGATTAAAGCTATTATACTTTTTCTATATGATTAATGATAACAGAACAGATATCGAACAATTTACGATTCTCAAAATAATTTTCCAAGAAAGCAAAAGTCAATAATAGCTTTACACTTGCGATGCCATAATATGTGAATCTATCTGATTGATATACTCAAAGCTACAAGGGTAGGAGGGAATGATACTCAAAGAATAGTATGATTCTTATGAGGTAAAGAATGTTTGTTAGAGAAAAGCATGCGTATAAGTATATCGAAGTTGATTCTAGCGATAATAGAACTGGTACTTAAATTATTCAATTGTTATATTTTCCAAATATCTAAATATCAAGGAGCAGCTATATACCACAAACAAGGAGTTTACAGTACTGGTAAACAAAAAATTTTTCTACTAAAAATACATATGGCCCAGCTCTCAGAATCGCTTTGCGCCTTACCTTCGCAGAACTTTGATTTCATTCTCTAACGAATCTTCCTTGCCCTTTAGCGCCTTTTTGTCAATGATCTTTACGGCAAACATTTGACCCGGCTTCTCTTTGCTTTCCGCCAGTCTCACTTCAGAGAATGCTCCCCTAAACAGAGGAAAATACAATATTTTAGCACAATAGATAAGTCCAAAGTAAATTTGCTTACAATTAGAGACCCTATATGTATTTTTGAGATAGTATTATTCATTTATAGCATTAAACTACAATTTGTTTTCTTTAAACGTATACAAAGGTATAGTTATAAACTGGCTTTACATACATTTTGTGCAAATAATACATTCTGACACAAATGCCATGAAATACATGTCTAAGCATTACTGCAGATGTATTTTGAAAAGTATACGAAAGAATGCATCAAAAAAGTATTATCTAAAAAAATAAAAAAAACATTCTGCTGAAATTTTATATTACATATTTTCACATTTTTTTTAATAAACGAATTTCAGAAACATGAATTGAATAAATAAAATATGATTTTAATTTCAACACTGTTTGTGAGTATCTTAACAAAAATTATCTACCTTTGCAAATAAATGTACAAATTAATCTTCCTCTTTAGAAAACAAGTTCTTACAAAAATATTGTTACTAAATAACAAAAGAATAAGATTTAATAATTTTTAACCTTTTATTTTTATATTTTTACAATAAAAAAAAATATTCGATTATATTAATTTCAATTTAAGTAAATCAATATATTCATGTAAAAATTTATAAAAAGTATAGTAGCGTTATGAGTACATGACATAAAAACATGACTAGACGTTCGATGTTCTCAATCCAATATTAAATGTTCGTTATATTGCAATGTATTGCTAAACTGTTATATAAATGGCACGATAAAATTGACAAATAGTATTGATAGATTTCATTATAAAAATATATGTATATCAATGATTCTCGCGTTCACATTTTTTGATAAAATACAAATATAAATAACGTATACAAAGAAAAGAAGAAAACTTGGTATTCAGCACACTTGTCCAAGTTGATTTCAATCTCAGTCAACAATCATTAAGTATTTAGTTGAAAAGCATTGCAACAGAGTGAAATTATAATTTTACTCTTTTAGCTGAAACTTTACAAGAAAAAAAGATTGGAAAAATAAAGAAACACATAAAAAAATGTGTATAATAATGAGGTAAGAGACATATAAATTTTTGTTGTGAGCTTTTAAGAGCTCATAAATCCGATGCGCGCGATGTAACACTAAGATAGAAATTCTAACTGATCACACGTTTAAGAAAGCAATTTCAAAGTGCCGTTATGGACGCATATACATTAGATTTTAATGCGATTTAATGCATACTAAGCGTTATTCGAAAACATCTTTCATAAGCGATATCGCAAAAGAAAGAAAAATACGCAAAAATCGTTGGTCACAAGAAAAAGCAATTTGTGATTCGCAAAAGAAAGTTACGATGTATTAGTGGATTCATTAATACAAAAAAAAAGAAGAGATTAAATCGCGAACACTTCCATTTAGTACGCGTCTCGAAATTTGAAGGCGCGTATCAAAGGTCAAAGTATATGTATATTGTAGAATGTCCAAAAGTCACCGGATATCTTTTCAACCGTTGGTTCTTTAGTCAATTTAAGATCGATTTCACACTTGAAAAACGTTGGAAAGATGAATCAGTATTAGTTTCCTAACTTTCTTTTTACAAGATCGTCTGCAATAGAGCATTAGTGAAAGTTCTATAAAAATAAAAGCTACTTAAGATCATATACACAGGAAAATACATACTGTACGCAAATGATAATTGTTTCAAGTATTTCAAAAGATCACATATCTGCAAATCTATTATAAGTTCAACAAGTTCTCAAAAACATCGACTTTATTTGAAATATATTGTGAAAATCCTAGTTTACTCTATTTTAGTAATCAAGATTAATAATTAAGATTATTAAATTAAAACAAAATCGATTTGCTTTTATAAAATCGCTTCTTCAATCAATTTTATAAAAGAAAATAAATTCTTGTTTTAAGTACATTAAATTTTTCTAAAATTTGTAATAAGTATATTTTAAGATAATTATCAAAGAAAATATTCTTTATCAAATAAATTTAAAAGAAAAAAAAGTAAATTGAGTAATCACTTTTCTTAACAATAGAATAATATTTTTTTATGTGTAGCTATAAAATAAGATTTTCTCAATCTTCTTCATCAATCCTCTTTTTTTTTTTCATAAAGCTCGACTTCACAAGAAACTCTTCATTTTGAATCATTAATTCTATTTAAGAAAAAGCTATTGAAATCTGACATTTTCATTTAGAAATCAATTTCCGAATCGCGATCGAGGAAGCTGCGGTTAAAGGAACACGCGACAACCTACAGGGAAATCCCGTATTCATATATGTCACATGAATTTCGTCGGATTTAGAAAGGGCAAGAGATCATCCTGGGAATCCTAAGATATCACATGAAATGTATGCTCATATCACGTTTTTGCAACCGAAAAGAAATGCATGCGCGCGGGAACAAAGAATAATATCGCGAGTGAATTTCGAACGACGCTCTCATTTTTATTACCGAACAGGTTTGCCTGTGGTCATACATTTGTAAATTAAAACCGGTTTATATCTCTCCCCTTGAATTATGTTGATATTCATGTCCTTCGGAAAGTTGTTTTGTGAGTATTTTTTAAATTTCTTAATTTGGATCTCTCAAAAATAAAAATTCATTCTTGAAAAAAATAAAATTTCACTTTTCTTTTTATAAACGCTGTATTCTCTAAATTCTTTGGAGTAAATGTATCTCATCTTCGAAGACCGGTCCATAGATCGTTCTTATTTTAAGATCATCTTAAATAATGTCTTAAGATGCAAATCATGGATCTTATGATTTACCTCAAGACTTAAGATCGTTTTAAATATAAGAATTGACTATGAATACCGATCTTCGAATGAGATACATTCCAAAGAATTTATAGTACAGTGTTATAAAAAAAAAAAATGTGAATGTGTCAACATTCTTCTGTTCCCTTTGACCGCAGTTACATAACTGTTTTCATAAGCAATCTGTTACACAGAGGAATCGGGATGTCACGCATATGCGACGCGTGGCATGCCACGAAAGTGTTAAAGCTAACGCTTAATCGATCTTGCAAAAGATATAACGCGCAGATATACATGCCGCCTTCCCTTACCGCAATCCGCTGTGTTATCATCTAAACAAATGCAAAAACGTAATAAAGTAGAAATAACATTATATAACTTAGATTTTCATCGACGAAAGAGAATTCATCATAAAAGTGTATAATATATGCATACATGAGAGCAGATAGAAGTTTTATCTTTATCGGAAATGTAAGCGCGTAAGAAAATATCAGGGACTTTACATTTGTTTGTCGTAACGTTTCGCATATCTCACGGACGTGGAATGACGTGTTTTCCAGAGTAAAATGCAAGATTGAGATCTGGGTATGTCATGAGCTCTTTAATAAACGTAAATGGCAATTAAGCCGGAAGTTGGATATCCGTTGGAGCCACTATATTAAATTAATCTGGGAAAGGAAGGTGTTTTTATCCGTGACGTTTAATCCGCTAAGCCCCGCAATCTCATGAAACATCGCGGTGCGATAATCACTCCGACGATTAAATTCCTGTTAAAGGAGGACTGTTGAACCGTTTTACTACAAAGAAGAAACATGTGTTAGAAACGTGTTTTCCCTCGGCTCCGCGTCAAATGCCTCGACGGATGAGGGGGTGGATGGAAATAGGGAGCGCGTACGTCTGTACTCTGTACGTCAGACGGAACAGGCAAGAGATCGGGAACGACGACTTACGTTCCCAGCAGGTCCTTTAGGATGTACTTGTCCTCGACGGAGGGCGATCGGTCGTCCTTCCCATCCTTCTTGATCTTTTTATTCGTATCCTTCTTCCCAAAGAGCGGCATCTTGATCTCGTTTCCCTGGATCTCGCGTGTATATAGGTATATGTATGTACAACACAACGTATAATTCTGTAGGCGCGCAATCGTATATATATATATATATATATACCTT